ATTTTATTCACCATTAATTTAAATTAAAATATTTTATAAATATAATTAACTTTAAAGTAAATAATTGATAAACAATTACTTTCTTATTTTACACACTCTCATTTTAGATGAGTTAATTTTAATATTTTTTTACTTTTATATATAATATTTTAATCATTTGGTATCTTATATTTTTTGAAATTTCCAAATCCTTACATCAGGTATTATGTCAGAGCCATGTATCAGCTTTCTATCTGGGTTTCCAATGTCAAAACATGTGACTGGCCTTCAAAGTTGAGTTTTTTCACAAATAAATTTTACAACATTAAAGCTTTCATGTAATTTAACCGATTAATGTCAATGTGGTCCTATATATATGGATCATTATGCTCTAAAGTGACCTTCCAACACATTCCAAAGTTTTTTCAGTTGGTCTGCCGGAGACATTCTTGCTAATTGTTTTGAAGTGTTTAGATTAATTTAATTATTTTATATTTATAACTTCTTAAAAAGGTAATTCTACACTTAAATTTAAATAAAATAAAAAATTGATGCCTTCATCAAAATTTATCCCCAAAGGGGCAAACTCTTCGTGAAACAAATATATATGCTATGTGTGAAACATTTATAAGAAAAGATTGCTCTCATATTTTAATAGTTGTTTTCCATAATACTAAGATAGATAACTAGAATTCATTAACAATGCAAATGATTTTACCATCTAAAAAATTAAGCATTTGAAATGGTAGGATTGTTTAATTAAAGTAAGTAAATAGAGGTGCAAAATAATTACATATAAAACAGTGGAGCATTTGAAAGAGTTTGATTTTTTTTATAAATATTTCAAACTTATTTTAATAAATTTAATTGTTAAAGTTATACAATAAAATTTCAAATGGTAAATTTTTTAAAATAAATATTTAGTTAAATTATTTACTCGAATACACCGAGAATGAAAAATGAAAAGCTAAAAGTTATGATTGTGCAAAAGGCAATAAGATGAAGATTATTTGGTCTCCAAAACGCAGCATAATGGTCCAAACTTTTCAATAAGTAGGAAAGAGAGGAATACCCCCCATCTTTCAATCGAGGAATTAACCTTCCCCCTTTTAAATTTTTTATATAATTAAATATCCCTCATTCTAATTTTTCCTACACAATACACATGTTAGTGAACTTGCAAATGAAATTAATCACATATGGAATTTTATTATATGATTTATCTTGGTTTTCTATAATCACTTCAATTAACCGATATTAAATTGCAAAATTTCACATTACGTGTCATCTTGGGTAACAAAAGAGTCTGTGGTGAACACCACAAAGAAAGGAAGAAAAAAGTATATAAAGAAAGAAACACATAAAATGAGAGTACTGTACACATCAACCTCCTTGGGGAGAGTCTATCATGATTGAAGCCAAAGCAAATTTGAATTAGTCCCCTCTCCCACAAAGAAAATGTTTGAGCGTGATTGGGTTCACTAGGGAAAGCCATGTCTATTTTTTATTTTGTTGGGCAACAATTGATGAAAAACAGCCTCTTTAGTGACCCACAAGCCATGTGAGGAGAATAGATAAGGTCAACATCCTGGCCAGGACCACCAAACCTTTGTGGTGGACATGCATCCTAATCTATTGGGTTCCTACGTGGCAACTTCATATTCGATATTATAATTTCTCTTAATTCATCTGACTCATCCTATGATGTTGTGGTTGAATCTTTCAGTTGGTTCCACGTCATCACAAATTTTGACAAGTGACAACTAAGGTTGAAACATGTCAGCATTTTGGGATGCTGATGTGTTGTACTGTGCTTGATTAATCTCAAGTTCTGTTTTAGATATATATGTATTTACTACAAGATGTATTTTTACGGCAATTTGGTTCCACTAGTTTTCTTCTTTTGTCATTTTCTCAACCTAAACCAACTTGCAGTTTACCAAAGAGATCACATCCACTAACGTAAAGAAACTGAGATTTATGTTTTTTTGTACATGATGCTGCATGTGGTGTGGTTTTAATTTTAAACCTACTTTTGTAATTTAAGTCTCTGAACTCTACTAATAACTTCTAACTGACTATTCATGAATGACAATACACGGTTCATTAGTTGTTGCATGACCTAAATTCCTATGCCTTCAAAAGGCTTACATGTGAATGATTTTAACATTCTTTGATCCCTGCTATAGTATTGTAGAAATTGAATATTATACTATATTAGTCTATAAATATTGATGTATTTACTTTTTAAAATTATAAAAATATTAATTATTAGCTGATCGCCAGCCTTAAGATTCTATTTTCCCATTGAATGATTCTAAAATGTCAAATCTTGGATACTTACTGACATGCTACCTAGCTGCAGATAATGGAGAATAATTCATTAGACACTCATAAGCCTAACTAGACTTACCATCCCAATATGCAAACTTGTCTTCTCCAATATCTTGCATGTAATTTGCCTTTGAGGCTGCAAGGACATTTCCTCTAAGAATTGTTGCCCCACCACATTTCTTGATGTTTACATAGGTGACTTACACTATATGCTCCACAACATATAGCAGTTCCACAATTCTCTCATAGATGCTGTTTCAATCCCTTTCTGTCATTGAAATTTACTACAACATATTGATGCATTTTCAGACAGTGGTCTACGTCATAATCTTTGCTACATTTTAGTGTGTTGACGAAAAAACCATACAGTTCACTAACTACCCCTATGTAATTAATACACACACTTCCCTACATTTTCCTATAACACATTTAATTTCAATAAATCAGCACAATTCTTCGTATAATTTAGCCCAACCGCCAACTACCAACTCCACTATGTAACTTACCCTGGATAGAAGCAACCTCATGTGTCAGCACTAAACACTACGTACCTCTACTTGTTGGCAGTCATCCAAAGAATGGACTATAATATATGTTATTCAATTCCAATGTGATGAAATGTCTCTCACGGAAACTTTTAATTATGAAGATATTATATTTGGCAAAGCTTAGGACTTGTTTGTTTTATAGTTTAAAAAATTAATTTTTGTATTTTTTAATAAAAGATACACGTTCTAATTAAAACATGTGATTTGAATTAATTTAGGCACATATATATCTGAATTATATTCAACAATTTAAAGTTAATTTTATTTAACTTTAAATTAAAATAGATATCTATTTTAATTAATATATACATGTATCTTAATTATATATATATACCATGTATTAATAATCTATATTAATTTTATTTTTTATTATTTGTGCTCTTATGTATGCATCTCAAAATGATACAACGACATCAAACAGAGAATAAAAAGGTAATTCCAGTTTTGTGATAAAGAACATTTTTTATGACTTAAATATATAGCATCACTATTGTTTTAGCAATATAAAATAAGAAGACAGTACTCCCAACTGAATATAAAAGTAAAACCCAAACAATATAAAAAGAAGTGAAACCACACAAGCAAAGAAGTTCACTTTCGTCCGTTGTGATTAGAAATAATGGAAGTCAACAAAAAGTGGTAAACCAAATTGCATGAGTTGAAAAAAGAAACCTAGACTATGATTCAAATCCTTTTCTAACACCAATCAAAGAAAATAAATATAAACAAACATACGTACCCACATCCCATGCAGGAATTCACCCTCTTTAGCCTTCAGGTATGTTCTTTTTTACGTGGATATATATATCTTTATCTAGCAAATAGTTTCTCAAATGCACAAATTTTCCTCTCTCAACCTTTTCCTTTGATTCAAAACAACAAAAACTAACTCGAAGTGAGTTCGCTATCACGTAATAAAGGCCTAAAGAAGAAGAAGAAAAGAGGATTGCTCATCACATCTCACGATCTTCCTTTCTGGATGAAAGCCCATCCCTGCCCTACGTTACCACTTTCAACAAATTCTTAGTACCTACGTTTTCAGCTCTCTTTTTTTCATTCCACTCTTATATACCAAGTGAGTGTTAGGTGCCTATATAACCTCTCTTCATACGAGATTAATTAATAAATACTAAATTAAACTCTTTATTAAACAGTTGTATTCACTGATACTCGAAGTGAAAAATTAAATTATATTTACAAATAAGAGATCATATAAAAATTAATATATTATTGTTCAAAACTCCCATTTTTTCAATAAAAGATATAGTTGAATATTGGATTTACACAACAGCAGAATGTAGGAAGTAAAGAAGCATGTAAGCGTGACAGAAGATAAGTGAATAACGGAAGCGTGTGAGTGTGACGTAGGAGCTACGTGAGGCTGAGATTGAACACTGCATAGACCTTACCATTACCATGGAGGAAGGGACATACTCTGTCACATGCCTTCTTCCATTGTCTTCCAAACAAACAACAAGCCAGGCCCAACGTACTACCATTCATGTTAATGCTCAGCAATTCACCTACAACACACTCTTTTTAAATCAACTAAAAACACACACACAAATTCTAAGTATTAGAAACTATCAAATACAACACAGTTATTATATGTCCTATGAAATTAAGAGAAATTTGATGTTTCAACTAAAATAAACACAAGTCATTATAGAAATAACAAAATGTTAAATTTTATAAAAACAAAAAACATTATATTCAACATATTCATATAATGTTTGAAGGTGTGTTTATAACTATTCTCTCTTATTAAAACTTTTATTACTTTAATCTTCTCTAAACCATGTTCTGTAATTTACTTGTGATCTCGAATTTAAGTATAGTTTTTAAAGTAATTATATTGAATACTTACATCAAATATTTTATTTTTTAATCAATATAGATATAATAAATATATGTATAAATAAAATTGACAGGATTTAATTATCTTACAGCAAAGTGAAAGAGAGAGAAGGAGGAGCACTTTCACCCTTCCCCACCCTCTGACTGAGATGGGGGGGGTCCACCCTAAAGCACAGCCACCCACAAGATAGATAATGTGACAACTTTTACACACCACTAACTTTCTGCCACGTGTCGCAGAGAGATTCTCCAACTCTCTGCCATGGGGCAACAAAAAACAATGCTTCCAGACCAAAACACCACTCACTCTTTCTCTTCTCTTTCTTTTCATTTCATTCATTTCCTCTTTCAAACAAACCAAACCAAAACACTTACTCACTGACACAACATCCATCCACAAATGTTGGAGACCGAACCCACGCCCACACCCACGTGGGCGCGCGTGTGCGACACGTGCCGCTCCGCCGCCTGCACCATCTTCTGCCGCGCCGACTCCGCCTACCTCTGCGCCGAGTGCGACTCGCGCGTCCACGCCGCCAACCGCGTGGCGTCGCGCCACGAGCGCGTGTGGGTCTGCGAGGCCTGCGAGCGTGCGCCGGCGGCGTTCCTCTGCAAGGCCGACGCCGCCTCCCTCTGCTCCTCCTGCGATGCCGACATCCACTCCGCCAACCCCCTTGCCAGCCGCCACCATCGTGTCCCCATTCTCCCCATCTCCGGCAACCTCTACGGCCACCATGTTCACGTGGCAGACAACGACGACGACGACGATGAAGAAGATGGTGCTGACGTGGAAGACGAAGACGAAGCTGCTTCTTGGCTCTTGCTTAACCCTGTGAAGACTAATAGTGTCAACAACAATAACACTCAGCAGAATAATGGGTTCTTGTTTAGTGCTGAAGTTGATGAGTATTTAGACCTTGTTGATCATTGTAACTCTTCTGCTGATGCTGATGCCGAAAATAACCACTTCACTGTTGCTGCTACTACTGATCATTACACTCATCATCATCAGCAGCATCAGCATGATCAACTATTTGGTGGGGTTTCTCAGAAGAGCTATGCTGGGGACAGTGTGGTTCCTGTTCAGCAACACCATCAAGGGCAACATTTTCAACTTGGTTTTGAGTTTGAGTCCTCTAAAGCTGCTTTCAGTTACAATGGTTCCGTTAGTCAAAGTGTAAGGCTTTTAAAAATTTAATCTTTTTACGTTTTCTGTTTTTGAGGTGCTTCTTGTTTCACTAAATGTTACTGTTTTTGTTTTTTGGGTTCGAAGTAGTTTCTTTTCATGGCATGTTGAATGCTAATTTTAGCTTTCTGGTTGAACTTCTGTTTTTTACTTGTTTTTGGCTTGGTTTGTGTATTGGATTGTTTGATGTTAATTATTGTTACACCTGTTTGGATCTGATGTTTGCTTTAAATTGTGAAGAAATGGTGTCTCTGATTCTTTCTGCAACTTTTTAGCTCTCTTTACCCTTTTTTCTTTTCACTTTTTTTTTCTTTAGTGGAAGGAATCTTGGGCCAAATTGAGTATCATGCTTTCTTCATTGGAATTGGTCTGATTAGATTGTTTTCCTCAACATACATAGAAATACTTTCTGCCTTTGCTTTTTTATTTTTTTATTTTTTCCCAAATGTTTGGTGAGATTTGATCGGTTCTATATATCGAATGTGCATGCAGTTGCCTTTCTTTCATTGAGATCTATTTTGTGGTATATTCTTTTGTATCCTTTACCAAGGAGCAAGCAAAAGCTAACAAGTAGTGTTACTTTGAGATTCTCATATTTTTTGTTATCTCAATCAGTGACTATATATTTCGGAATATTTATCTGTAGGTGACATATTCACCAATTTATTAGCCTCCATGATTGAATTCCTCAAAATTGACTTCTATACATGTTATTTCATTGTCAAGAAATTCTCTCATATATCTGCTCAGCCGATTCCATCACTTGTGCATTTAGCTAGAATTTGAAGTGACAATATACAAACCAGAGCCTATAATCAAATGTGAAAAAAATGCCTATTGTATTCTCAACTGATAAAAATGTCAGTTATTGGTCTTATCAGTACTAAATAGAAAATCTTCCTAAAACTTGTGATTTCATGAACATTTAATATCTCTTGCATTTTAGTACCTAGTATTTATTTGTTTCCTTTGTCATTGAAACCAGGTTTCAGTTTCATCCATGGATGTTGGTGTTGTACCAGAATCAACAATCCGGGATGTCTCAATTGCTCATTCAAGACCTCCCAAAGGGACAATTGACCTATTTTCTGGACCTCCGATTCAGATGCCTTCCCATCTTACTCCAATGGATAGGGAAGCCAGAGTCCTAAGGTATAGGGAGAAAAAGAAGACAAGAAAATTTGAGAAGACAATTAGGTATGCCTCAAGGAAGGCCTATGCAGAGACTAGACCCCGCATAAAAGGTCGATTTGCCAAGAGAACAGCTGTAGAAGCAGAAGTGGATCAAATGTTCTCCACAACACTAATTACAGAAGTTGGATATGGCATTGTTCCCTCTTTCTGAATATGCTGTCATGAACAATTGGCCAGAAGACAGGGAAGAAGATAGAGGATCATGATCAATAGCAATGGCTACCACTATGTACTAATTACTAAGTTATTTTGCTGATATTGTATTTTTTATATAATCTAATTACTTGCAGCTGCACTAATTAGATGCTTTATTGTTGTTTTCTTTTGAATGAGACTTCTATTTGTAAATACAGTCTTTATATTAATTAAATTACAGTCAACATGTCTTTGGAAAATTTTGAGTTTTTCAATTTCTGTCGTGGTGTGTAATTGATAGAATGATGATAATGATAATCAACCGATAACTTCTGTATCCTATCTCAAACTTTTGTTATTTGGTCATCTCATCTAGGTACAATCATTTCAATCCAATTAACTATTGAACTAACATTGAGTGATCAAATCTAACTATATTCAGTGAACATCATTCAGATGCATTGAACTTGACTGTGGCTTGAATTTTGGTTGATATCATAATGCATATGTTTCCTTATTCAACTTGACTCTAGTAAAAAGAAAAGAATAGAAAATTGAAGAGTTTAATCATAATGCATATAATTCCTTATTCATTTTGTTTTCCTTGAAAGAAGGTCAAAACATGTTTATTATATCTACGTCCCTCTTCTTTTTCTCTTTATGTTTCCACCCTTCATCATTCCCTAGTAAATACAAGACCTATATCATTTAGACATCATATGGGCTTCAAAGTTTATTACACATGTATTTTATCACAATTTTATCTATTATTGTTCTAGTTAACAGTTGTAAATACCCTTTTTCCTCTGACATACGTCCCTCAGTTTAGCTAAACCTGATCCGCTTTTGGCACATTCTAAACGGAAAAGAAAGTTATATAATGATAGTCTTCTGACCATATCTGCCAAAATACTCTAGATTTTGAAAAGTTCTGCACATGTGGTGATGGATTTTTAACATACAAAATGGATGTACATGCTTTTAAATTTTCTATTTTACTCTGACTCTTGATTATTTTAGTGTACAGATAACTTTTACAATGAAACCATGCTACGGGTAGAGTTATAGAGTTAAAAACACATGAGGTTAAAGGAATATCATGCTAAGGTTTAATTTCCATATCAAATGTAATATAAAAGGCAGGTAATATTAATTTAAGGTTTTCTTTCAATACGATTTGAGCTCTAGAGAAATCAATGTAGTGAAAAGGCAATGTTTTGTCCCCTTCCCAAGTGGTATATTTCGTGCAGCAAATTGAAAGTGCTATAACAAAGTTTGTTGGCACTTTTTGCTATCGTGAAAGTGAATATTTGACAAATAGTAGAAGAAAAAAATTCTAATATTTAATTGAATATATGGGCGAGTCATCCATGGCCATGAGATTGCTATATATATATACGTGCGAATGCTGGTGATAAAAAATCCTGAATCAAGTCGATGCTTTTTGCTTTAAGTTTCAGGTTGTCATGGTCTATAAATATTTGAATAATCAATAGCTGCTATGCTATTTGCTACACGTTACTAGTGATAGCAGTCACCATTCTTTCCCACATTTCATGATGCAAAGGAATGATACCTGAACAAAGGGTTACAGATTGGAATATTCTATGTCAAACTATCTATCTCAGAAAGTTGCATGTGTATTCCCATAGTAAGTGGTATGGTTACTATTATTTTAATGTAAAACTTATTTTTTGAATTAAAACTTGTAAACTATTCACCTTGATCATAGCATTATATATGACATAATTAGCTCACAAATAAATATATGTGTGTAATTGATCTATACTAAACGCATTGAACATGGTTTACAGCTCCATGCATGTAGATACTTCTCATCCACTAATAATCACATCTTCCGTGAATCAATGGGTTGTGGTTAATTCATCATTTAATATTAACTCGTTGTCAAAGCATGAACAAGGTCGTGTCTATACACTTATCCTAACGTATACTTACGTAAGTGTTAATTTACTCAAATATAAGGTAAACAACTGCAATTAGCTATTAAAAATACCATAAGAAACGAATTAGCATAACCCTATAAAAATATACAAGAGAAATAAGCTTGTGGTATATCTTAGTAAAGTTGTCTTCATAAGTTTCTTAGTTCAATTAGTTTTACTACTCACTCACATAGTGGTCCTCAAAAGTAGCTGCACTTTTTTACCTTTATGAAAGGCATGATAAACAAGTAGAACAAAGTAGAACTGGTGGAGGTTATTGTAACATGTACACAAGCATTGATACCCCTTGTTTGATATGTTTGTCACTCAAACTTCACTACTAGATGAGATGAGTTTCAGACAGGTACATGCACCAACCAAATTGATTCTAAAGACAAAAAAGAACACCAATTCCCTTTCGAATTTTTCTTTATTTGATTTTTTTTTTAAAAAGAAAAAAAACCATTCCATGAAAAAAAATCCAGCATAACATTGCAAACATCTAGGAAATTGGCCAAACTTAGATGAGTAACCCCCTTCAATGTTTGGATCATAAAAGTCTCTCTCTATCTTTTTGAAGATCTTTGCATTTGATTTAGCAATCAAAATCGATTCATTTGAATACCAAATCCAAAAGACCCATAAAAGAATAAGAGACTTGAGTTGGAAAAAGTAAAATATATTACCTACCTAGGTGGAGCTTTGAAATTTACAAACTACATATGACATAAAAAGTTTGAGTAATGGTATAACTAGATTGTTGTCATCGCTTTAATCATAGGCTTGCATTTCATCCTGAATATTATCGGTGATACTAAAAATAAAAAGGGTTCTTAGATGAAAGTGTCATTTTAACTTTAAAGAAACGTGTACGTGGCCCCAAAGGCGAGGCCAAACATATGTTGCTTTTGCTTTTAGATCCACAAACTCTAGGAGAACCAATTCCCGATGGTTAATTTGTCAAGCTGCATAACAATATTTTTCCACAGACAAACTCTAGTGTAAATCTAGTTTCTACACTAGCAGATCAAAAGTATGATGATGAAATATGTGACAAGAGTGTTCTGAAAACACTACATGGAGGAAATGAAGGCACACTGAAAAATAAGCCAAGCGATAAAAGAGGTTGTTTTACTTCTAAAAGCTATGAGGACTGAAACATGAATAATTAAAATTACGCATAAATTAAAATATAAAGATTAAAATTTTAATTAAAGTTAGATAATTTATCTATTTCTTTAATAAAAATTGGAGAGTTTCACCTCACTAATTCATGTAATATGTAAATTTTGTCCTGTTTTTAGTTACTTACATTGATGAGAAATTTATTTGTATTAAAAAATTAAAATGTAACTAATATTTATTTCTCAAATAAGGGGAGTGTACATATTAAAATAAGAGGAGAGCATAATATAATTTTCTCTAACAAATAATAGGTAGATATAAGTACAAGTATTAGATATATTACTTAACACAATGAAGATAATAAGTTCACATCAAAATCGTAAATGTATTACAAACAATAATGGAAGAGAAATCCTATAACTTTCCCCAACCTAGAGAAGACTTAGAACTGAAGCTCATAAAAATTGGTGCCAAAATTAAAGGCCTTTGGGCCTTCTTGTTGGGCCCTTTTGTTATCTTGTAGCTTTGATAACCAGATCCAACGGGAACTAAGCCCACACCCTATATAAACGAAACACTTGCGCTTTTGGAAAGCCCATCTCAACAGGGCCAAAATGCCGGTCAATAAATGGCCCAACTTGACTATAACACCTTTGTGAAGTAGAAAAACCTTTTGCTGCCATTGCCGCCGTTGCCGTAACTCATTCCTTTAGCGCCACCGCCGGCGAAAGCCCCAAATAGTTCAATCTTCATCTTTTTCTTCCGAAGATCCATTTTTTTTCTCTCTTTGCTCTCTTCTTTGGTTTCCTTGTTATCGTGCGTGCTTGTGTTTTCCGTAACTACCACTGGTACTCTGTGTTTGCATGTGTTTCTGTGTGGTGATTATGTGAAGAGGGTAACTGTGTCAGTGTCAAAATTTGATTTTTTTTTGTGATCTTGGTTGTTGGGTATGGCAGATTTTTAACTACAAAAAATGGGGAAGAAGAGAAAGCACAGTGAAACTACTGAAGCTGTAGCACTGCCCAAAAAGGAAGATGCTGCTCCAGAGAGACCAACTAGGACCCTTTTGGGATGGAAGGATAAGAATCAAATCAATAATGAAGTTGAGGATTCACCTATATTTAGGAACAAAGAGAAGGTATTGGTAACCTGCTCTAGGCGCATTAATTACAGGTATAACAACATACCCCATGTTTTGTTGTAGTTACAATCTTTGTTTGGAGTTTGGATTGCTTTATTCTGTGCTTGAAATAAAAAGAAAATGATAAAAATACCATCTTGGTGCATGAAACTGAGAACAAACAAACTTTTGTCTTGTCTAGTGGGTTAGTTTTTTGTACATTGACTTGATGGATTGGAGTGTGTTTTTGGTAAATTATAGGTATCGGCATTTGATGTTGAATGTGGTGTCGCTTTTACCTCATGGCAAGAAGGATAATAAGGTTGAATCAAAGGAAACAAAAGGCGCCACTCTGAATGAGCTTGTTGAGCTCAAAAATTGTTCCTCTTGTTTATTTTTTGAGGTATTCTTTTTTTCTTGCCACAAGGTTGCCGTTTTTGGTTAAATTAGGCTTGATGTGTCATGCTGCAGTTCACTAGATTTTAGTTTATGCGCTATGTTTATTTTATTGTTTAGTTAGAAATTTTTGTTCCTGTTTATGGTTTAAGGAATTGTTTTTCTGGTCACAAATGTTGCTGACTTATTTTGATGGTTGTAATATGCTATTGTTTGCTACTTTCAAGTTCATATGATTCCTTCCTTTTGTTGATTGGATTAAACATGATTTTTTTTTTTTTTATTTTTTTATTGATACTTCGAGTCTTGCCAACCTGTTACATTCTGATTATTGTCTCCTCCTCCTCTTATTTTGTTTATATGAATTTCAGTGCAGGAAGCAGAAAGATCTTTATCTCTGGATGGCAAAATGCCCCAATGGCCCATCTGTAAAATTTTTAGTTAGTGCTGGTAATATTCTCATCTAATTATTATCATAAGGTTACTACAATACTGATTTGCCTACTATTGTGGGGTACTGTTCTGACTTTGTATAGTGATTCTTGTTCTCTTGGTAGAATATGATATTTGTGTTTTTCTCTCTTTTTCAACTTTTTCTGATATCATTGTCTTGATTTCTCTTTTTCCTCTGCTGCTTTCCAGTACACACAATGGAGGAATTGAAGCTAACTGGAAATCACCTAAAAGGTTCCCGTCCTATTCTGACATTTTCAGCAAATTTTGAGAAAGATGCACATTGGAAACTGTTAAAGGAGATGTTGTTACAGGTATTTGGTTGGTTTATTTCGTTGTAAGCAGTATTTCTTTGTTGTCTATCTAGTTTCATCTGAAAGAAGATTAGGAAATCTCTAATGAAAATGTTGATTACTCTTGTGTGTGTCATTCATTTCGTGTACAAGAGTAAAGGATCGTTTGATAATTTCATCTTATACTATGGTTGTCATTCTTATATATCTGCATAGGAGAATTTTCTTAATTTGTTATTTTTCACAAGAAAAAATTCTATTAATGTTATATTCATTTATTGGCATAGTTTAAATTGAGTAGGATGTGGAGATCTGTTCCATGCATATATTCCTATCCACATTTTTCTGATTCTGATACTTTTGGCTGAGAGTTGTATTTGAGCATGGTCTGGATTTTTTGCATGTGATCTCTGTGTGTGTGTGTGCATTTCTGGGAGAGTGAATAGTAAGAATTCACACAATTTTGATTATTTCTGGCATACTCATTTGTTCGTTCTTTCAGATATTTGAAACACCAAAGGACCATAGAAAGTCTAAGCCTTTTCACGATCACGTTTTTGTTTTCTCAATAGTTGATGATCACATTTGGTTCCGGAATTACCAGGTTTGTGTTTGTATTTGCTCAAAATATATAAATTTGCTATATGCATCCTTTACCTATTGCATTTGTAGGTTAACATTGGACATTTGTTGTTCTGGGCATTCATTCCACTTTCTTCTAAAGAATCTAAATAAATCAAACATGTGTACATTTTGATTATGATTATGTTGATTGTTTTTGTCAGCCATAACTTAATAATAGAACTATAGAAGTGAAGTTTGAGAAGAAAAATTTAAATTTTTTACTTCCTTGGAATGCATCAGAGTTTCTATTCATAAGCCTAACATTTCAATCCGAAGGATTTGCTATGGGTTCTTTATTAATAGACTTCAGTGTGAAATGACAATGCTATTCAACCCAACTTGGAGGATGGAGAATAATGGGCCATTATAATGAGCGTTTAAATTTGCTCCACTATCAATGTAAAACATTTTTCATTGTCACTGTAAAACCTTTTCTTCTTTCAATGAACTAAGGTCCACCATATTATTGTTCACAGATAGTGCAAAATTCACAAAATTAGCAATAGATCAAAATTGAATCTTACTTCTTTGCCATTCCATAGTATTGTATCTTTTTCTAGTTCTTATTGTTGTTGATGCCTACCAAGTAATGTTACATACTTCTTTTCTTTATTCCGATGCAGATCTCTGTGCCTCATAATGAGTCAGACAAATTACCTAGAGGAGGCCTTGATAAAATGACATTAATTGAGGTTTGGAAATTTGTTATTGATTTGTATTTTAATCTGTTGATTCCCAATTTTCCCTTTAACCTCTGTGTACAATACATGTTTAGGTTGGTCCACGATTTTGTTTGAATCCAATTAAAATATTCGGAGGCAGTTTTGGAGGCCCAACATTATATGAGAATCCATTCTATGTGTCACCAAATCAGGTACTGACCAATACATTGCCCATCTATACATATAGTTTATCTAGCTTTCTGCTGAAAATAATGATATCATCATTGGTTATTTTCATGCCTTTTTTATGTTGGTTCTTATAGATTAGAGCTTTGGAGAAAAGAAAGAAGGCTGGAAAGTTTGCAAAGAAGGTTAAAGCAAAGACAAGAAGGAAAATCCATGAGATGTCTAATCCTCTGGAGCCTGATGAGTTTGCAGATATGTGGAAAGAATGATTTTAAAAGTAACTGCCACTTCCACAAAAGTAAGAAAAATCCATATTTCACCTTATTTCCATATCATGAGTATGGTAGGATTTGTTGGCATCCCATGCTTTGACATGGATTGCTTTATAAATTCAAGTGGAGGTACAGGCTGTAAGTTTATATTCACATTATAATCTATAACATTAAAGTGAGATTTTTATGATTCTATAATGTTATTTTCTTCAATTCTTGTGGGGACTAATTATTATTTGTGATTTTATAATGCTATATTCTTTAATTCCCGTTGGGAATGGTTATTTTCTTACAAGATGTTGGTTTGGTGGAAATTGAATTTTGGCACAGAAGGGTTCAGTTTTGAGCCTGAGATTGTATGAGTGATGCACAAATTGTATGTTGATTATTTCTCTTTTATTGATAGTATAGGATTTTAGATTAAAAATGTAACTTGCTGCATGAATCCAGATTCATTTTCACCACAGATCAAGGTACTCTTACTAGTAAAATTTTATAAAAAAAAATTACAAGAAATTCTTGGCTTGAAAAGTTCAGAATTCTTTATCACATTTTCCATATTAAGATATGAAATTGATCAGTGCAATTATGACACCAAAGAACAAGATTGGATTCCTAGATGTAGATGTCCAATGCCAATCAATAATAGAAAACATTCTTCAATTTATCGTTTTATATCCTTTAAGAAAAAAGTTAAATCATTAAATTTTATGTGGGTTAAACAAGAAACAATGTTACATTAATCGGTTAGAATCTTCAATGAAAAGCCTATAAGCAATAGCATAGAACATTTGTTATGGGCCACATTCGTTTTGTTCAACAATTGCATGGATGTCCACCAAACAAAATAGCTCATGTGATGACTTTTGGTAGAAATAATTTTCTTTTGCTTTTATTTTTTTAATTCAACGCAATATTATGACAATTAATCGGTGGAAGGAAAATAATTTTGAAATAAAATATTCTATTGCGAAATTTTTAGTTACGTGAATATTTTTGAATTCAAGTTTTAAATTTGTTTTTGTTTGATTTAGAAAAACTTAATTTCTTGAAAAAAAAAAGTCCTAATATTTTTGTGCAATAAAATTTTATTGAATTGATGCTTAATTAAGTGTTACTCAAACATAGTTATAGTTCAATTGAAATAATATAAAGTTCGTAGAGGTCTTTATTAATTTAATTAGTCTAAATTTAAGATTTTAAATATAATATTTTATGTGAAAAAAATTGTATGAAGGAGTTAGACATGAACACCTTTACAAAAAGTAATACAAGTTTTCACTTTATCAGCACCCAAAATATCTGCACAAATAAAATTGGCGAAATCAAAGAATTTATGTTAAAAATGATTTATTCTCTCAAAGAAGAAAGAAAGGAAATTCTTCATTTCATAATTGAAAAGTAATAAACTTAGATAAATCATATAAAAATGTATTATTTTTCTCCGAGAAAAAAATTATTGGGGGAAATAAACAATGTAATCAATTCAAACAGTGATCAATATTTTGAAATTTTGGAGTTGTAATTATAGGGGTGAAATGGGCTTTCCATGGCATATAATGAATTTTGGGTTGCACAAATTCAGATTTGGCGACTTGCTCAACCCAACTTAAATAAACTTCTTTTGCATGTGTTCTAACAAGGTTAATAATTTCAGAAAATTTGAATTTAAACATGAAATATTTTTCCATTTTGATGAATTAAAAATTATCTGAATATTTAGAAATATAATCACTTGTTAATCATGAATATTTGTATATCCTAGAGATAAACACACTGTCCTGCTGGTTATCCCACAAACAACAAATCCAAAAACTTTCATCTGGATTCATAACTTAGTTTGACATGTGGAGGAGCATCAAATAACTTAAATAATACATAATTTGGGTTAAAGGATAGAAGCATACCAAAAAACAATTGAAAAGAATTGCAAAGAGATTGCATAAACTTCAGAATGCATAGTATAATGGCACTTCAAAACGCTCAAAGCTTTAGTTTATAGAAAGGTAAACACTTCCAATAAATAGTATGGATCACTTATGATGAAAGCAGAATTAGCATCTTTTGTTTTTTAATCTAAGGTTCATATGTGCACAAATATACATTCCATCAAGCTATAGCATTTTACAAAACTCCAGATTCACGAAAATCAGTACTTCAATATTTCAATATGCTTAGGATCCAATCTTGTAATTTTATATAATTTCATAATAGAATCTGAGTTTATTATAGGAACATTGTTTGTGAATCTCAACTTTAACCTTAACATCCCTTGTCCTTTACCTAGATCATAGATGATACACCTCAATCATGAGTTATATTAACAACTTTTCTAGAAGAGTAGTCTTTGGTTAGCACCTAAAGCCACTGTCACAAAATAAATGTGGCCTCATGTAACTCCAAAAAGAAACAGAACATATTCCAATTTCCTCAAACTAAAATTCTTAACACCATTTCATTGGCTTTTTGATCCAATTGGTTGTATTTGGTTAATTGGTTTAAGGCATGAACTGAGATATCTTATCATCACATTTATTTAAATGTTTCTATGCGGAATTACATAATAAAAACAAATGCAATAAATGAGAAAGGTAAATGCATTAACAATATGTAAGTGCTGGGTGGCCCTCCAACAAATTTTTTTGCCTGATCTGTTCTAAATCTTAAGGACAAGGACTTGTCCATCAACCACTCCCACTGAGTTATTTTATACCAATTTACCCCACAAAAATGATTTGTTTTATGCTCACCTTAATCCACCTAGTGTGACCATTAATCCTATCTTCATTAGGTTTTCCACATTATTCCATTAATAAAACATTAAAGTCATGATGTGTAGTCCATTGTTTTGTCATGTTACAGCATAATACATCACATAATTGAAGTTATTAACTTGCTGGTTCGATTATAAAAATCACTAATTTCATTATGTGCTTCTTCAATGTTTTGTTCTGTCAACAGCATAATGATCAGTGTTCTTAATTTGTTGACATATACTGCATTAAAACAGTATATTTGACTCTTATGATGTAAAATGTGTTTTTATCTTAAAGCATGAATCACTGTAAATTTATTGTAACAATCGTAGTGTATAATCATTATTTGGATGAATAACTGCACCGCCGATCTAATTAGCTAAAGATCTTCGTGTTTTCTCTTTAACAGTGGTGATTCTATAAATTCAGATTACTGAAAAAGCAAAACAATTTTGTGGCATTTTTAGATTGTTGAATGTTTATAGCATGAAACACTGCAACCCTTTGGGTAAATCCAGTTTTTACTTTTTCTATGACTATGAATATGTATTTTGCGACACATGGTCATAACTTTTGAAACAATTGTATAATTTTTATTGATTCTTGAGAAATAATGAGAAGATCCACTTTTATGATGTACATGTATGTATTTATTGAAGATTCTTAAATGGAATATAAGAGAAACTAAAACACTCAAATAAGTCAATAATCATATATTCAAGAGGTATATATAATATTTTCTGTCATTTTAATATAACAGTATCTAATTCATACAACTAAAGTTCTATATCTATGTTGGTCTAAGTGACAAGTGATTCAGTATCATTTAAATAAGGTCTTGATAAATACAAAATATAATGTCCACTTTCTGATATCCTTAAGTCTTAGGTATATTTCAGCAATCCTGGAATTAATTAAGGTCTCCTGATTGACTCTAATGTACTGAGAAATTGTTATGTTGCATTATGATCTAGGATGTGTAATGAGGAAGTTTAGGATTGTACATCAAATTCAATGAAGACTAATCATAAGGCCACATTAATGTATGAGAGGTTTCATGAATCAGCTTATACAGTACAGTGCCCATAGTTAACTTATCATAGCATATAGACATTATCTAAAACATACACTTCCACTAATACAATTACTCATACTGATGACTCGCTTTAAAATTAATGTAAAGAATTAAACAAAGAAATATTTAACCTCAAATAATTTATAAAATTTAAATTATTAAGAGAGATTATATAAAAATATTTTAAGGGAAATTATGATAATTTATTTTATTAAAAAAAAATCTTAATATAACAAAACACACTTTGTAGGAACAAATAATCACTATTTAATTACATGTAATACTTTTTAAAAAAATTATAAATTTCACATACTAAATGTACAATTTTATTTCCAATTGTTAATTAGTCAGCGTGAACAAATAATCTTGCATTCACAGCCAATAACTATTCATAAATTTATTTATAAAGGTCTAATAATTTTTATCTACGAATAGTTTTATAGAGTTATTTTATTATTATTTTTTATGAAGGCAATTTTGTTCATTTAAAAAAAAATAATCATTCTCCCTAAACATTTTTATCTAGTTATCTTCTTTTTATAAAGATAATTTTGTTTATTAACAATATCTAATAATCATTCTCCTAAACAATTTATGTCGCTTACGATTGAATATTTCTTTATATTAAACCTTAGAAACTAATTTTCGGATCATTCTACTGAGTGATGCCATTGATTACTTTCTTAAATTCTAAAGATATGAATAGGCCAAAAGATGTGTGGGAATGAATACGAAAAATACTTTAAGTTGCATGGACACGTTTAGTGGGGCCTATCAGAGACTTATCGTGAAATAATTTTGTGTTTCTTCTTCCTCCTTTTCGCATTGGTTGCTTCATTGACATAACATGAATCCTCCATGTTTGCAGTGTTACAGAACAACCAACCTAACACCCAACCACTGTTTTTATCTGAAGAAATCCCTTAAAGGTTATTTGTGGATACATAGTAAGGGTTTGGTGATTTTTTTATTTTTTTTATTTGGAGAGAATAAGTAGTTTTTCAAATTTAATCTTAAACAAGCTTGCACATCTATTTAAAAAATAATAATCACTTATATATTTTGTCAAATATTTCGTGTAATTAAATAAGTCATAAGGATATAAGCAACATTTAGAGATGGACTCCAAAAAAAATATCTTATGCAAGACAAAAGCTAAAGAAAAAGGCAAATTACAAAGAACAAAAGTGAAGCTACTTTCAAATTTGTGGTTCCTATTGAATAAACAGAAAGGGCAACAAAAGCACGTAATGTAATAAAATAATAGTGTTTTTTGTAAGCTATATCATAATTGATCTACATCATTTTTAACTATTAAATAATAAAATTTAGTAATTCATCTTCATTTATCATTTTCTAAATTTGAAAAATATGCAAATTAAATTAACTTGTACTAAAATCCATAACCTGTGCTGTATATGTAGCTATGATTAATTTCCACAACCTTCCGGATGCCC